AATAAAAATAAAATAAACAGCAAACAGAGCAGCAAATAATAATTAGTATTATACTCAAGATAATATAATTAACATATATATATGTATATATGATATATGTAATATATATAATATAAATAATATACATAATATAATATATATAACATATATAATATATATAATATATATATTATACATAATATAATATATATATTATATATTATACACAATATATATATAATATAATATATATAATATATATAATGTAATATATATATCATATATAATATATATAATATGCATAATTTATATAATCTATATAATAAAATATATATATATATATATCATATAAAATATATATATTATATATTATATATTTATATATTATACATTTATTCCTATCTATATAAAAATATAATTTTTATATGCGCAGCTGTCTCTGTCTTCTATTTGCTGCAGATACACCGCACGCTCTGCATGAAAGCAAACTAATTATTTATACTGCAGCAGCAAGAGATTCAGCAGCAAGAGATGCAGCAGCAAGAGATATTAGATGCAGCAGCAAGAGATGCAGCAGCAAGAGTTGCAGCAGCAAGAGAAGCAGCAGCAAGAGCTGCAGCAGCAGTATATTAGATGCAGCAGCAAGAGATGCAGCAGCAAGAGTTGCAGCAGCAGGAGTTGCAGCAGCAAGAGTTGCAGCAGCAGGAGCTGCAGCAGCAGGATATACGTTAGTATGATTCAAAGGAGCCATGAAAATAAAAAGACTTGCTGCTGCAGCAGCAACTATGTTTGCTGCTGCCGTTGCTGCTGCTGCAGCCGTTGCTGCTGCTGCTGCCGTTGCTGCTGCACCACCCCACAGACTTGTTCTGCCGCTGTTTGTTGCGGCTGCTGCTGCAGCGCTGCAGTTTTGTGTAGCTTCTGTCTTCGCTGGTGCTGCTGCACAGACACCCTATTTAATAACACCTCCGCGTCTCGATGCAGGAGCAGCAGCAGCAGCTGCTGCTCCTGGTGCAGCAGCAGCAGCACGTGCCTTCTGCTCCGCTATAATATGTATAGAGCGCCTTTGAGTTTTATAATAAACTAGAAACACTGAAGGATAGCAGCAAGCAACAGCAGCAGCAGCAGCAGCAGCAGTCGTGCACGCACCAGCACAAGCAGAACTACAAGAGTAAGAGCAGCAGCAACAGCAGCAGCAGCAACAACAGCAGCAGCAGCAGCAGCGTAGGTATATCTCAGTCTCTTGCTTACTTCTTCTTAGAATTAAACATCTTCTATAATTCAACTTGGTTTAACTTTGCTGCTGCTGCTGCTGCTGCAGCAGCAGCAGCAGGATGACTTAGAACAGCACCGATGTCGTTGGGGGCCCCTGTGCCGACAGCAGCAGCAGCAGCAGCAGCAGCAGTAGCTGCTACTGCTGCTGCTGCTGCTGCAACAGTGTATCATCGATTCAAAGCGTCTTTAAGTCTTCTTCTTACTTTCTGTATTTAAAAAAGTAATTAAAATATTTTAATGTTTATAGACAAACAGCTTGCTTCAGGGCCTCTGAACATGCTGCTGCAGCGCTGAGCAGCAGCAGCAGCATCAGCAGCAGCAGCAGCAGCAGCAGCATCAGCATCAGGATTATCAGCAGCAGAAGCACTCGCTCGTACTAGCCGAATCCCCCTGCTGCTGCTGCGGCAGCAGCTGCTGCTTCTGCTGCAGCAGCAGCTGCAGCAACAGCAGCAGCAACAGCAGCAACAGCAGCAGCAGCAACAGCAGCAGCAGCAGCAGCAGAATGTGGGCCCCCCACGACGGCAGCGTGATTCCACTGTCTCCTCAGGAGACACCACTGCAGCCAGAAGCACTCCTATGCATTTCAAATCTAGCGAGTGCAGCAGAAGTAGATGCTGCTGTTTGTGCTGCTCTCAGCCGACTAGAGCTGGCGTACTCAAACAGAGATAAGGAGTGCTTCTTCTGCTGCTGCAGCTGCTGCAGCTGCTGCAACTGCTGCGCCTGCAAAAGCAGAAACAGCAGCAGAGATAACCGCGAACACAGACATGCGATTGCCGCCAACAGCCACACCAACAGCAGCAGCAACAGCAGCAGCAGCATCTGCAGCAGCAGCAGCAACAGCAACAGCAGCAGCAGCAGCAGCAGCATTGATGCCTTGCCACGTGAGGTGTATGTACGGCGTTTGCTGCTGGCGTTTGCTCGCGATGTTGAAGACAGATGGCTGCAGCAATTTGAATATTTTTTGCTGCGGTGTGCTGCTTGCTGCTGCTGCTACTTGGGGGCTCAAGAAGAGTTGCTGCAGTCGTTTTGCTGCTACAGCAGAGACAAAGAAGCAGCTGTTCATCTTTACAGAGAGTGGCTAGCCTTTGATATCTCTCGTCTCCTTCGCTGTCTCTACCGCATACGCACAGAAGCAGCAGCTGCTGCTGCTGAAGCGGCCCATACAGAAGAGACAGCCCAGGGGGAGAAATCAACAGCAACAGGAAGACTCGAGCAGCAGCAGCAGCAGCAGCTGCAGCTGCAGCACAATGAACACTGGAAAGGGTCACTACCTTGCTCAGCCTACAGCAGCAGCAGCAGCAGCAGCAGCAGCAGCAGCAGACTTGTTGAGACGACAGTAGCTCAGCTGCTGATGGCAGCAAGCCGCACACTGAGTGCTCGTACAGAAACCCCAGCAGGTGTGCTGCTGTGTTTCTTAGGAGAGCGTATGCCTCTATCTTTGCTGCTGCAGTTGCTGCTGCTCCCACCGCAGCAGCAGCAGCAGCAGCAGCAGATGATGATAGCAGGATTATCTGCAGCAAGCAGCAACAACAGACGCCCGAGGCCCCCTTCCTGGATCCCTGATGGGGCCTCTAGGGAGGATTTGCTGCTGCTGCAGCAGCAAACCAATGGCATGCACGTGCTGCTGCTGCAGCTGCTGAAGCTGCAGCAGCAGCAGCAGCAACAGCAGCAGCAGCAGCAGCAACAGGGAGAATATGATTTCTTTGCAGCAGTGGAACAGCAGCAAGACAAAGGCGAAGATGCGCTGGCGCTTGCATACCAGCAGCAATCGCAGCAGCAGCAGCAGCAGCAGCAGCTGTTGCTGCAGGAGTTGCTGCAGCAGCAGCATATTGCTGATATTGGGTTGTCTCCGTTGTGTCTGCTGCT